TATTTTACATCATTCAAAATCATTAAAATATAGACCTACGCACTTTATATGCATTTTGCAAATTTTTCAAGCTCTATTTATAATAAAAGGCCGAGGATTTACGCCGTGTAAACTTTATATTGACAAAATTCTTTTACACAGTATTGGACATAATCCTTTGCTGTGTAGGATTCTTGTGCAACAAAAATTATGGAATTGTATGAAATCTCCACCTACAGAACAAAGAAAACGTACTCGATTTTCCTACATTCCCTCCACATCTACAGTTTTTGTTTCGATTTGCAGGTCGGCCAAATTATCAGTGGCGTCTTTTATCAGTCGTAAAAACTTATTCATTGATTTCATTGTTTCAAATTTACGACTAAACAATCTAAACCATTAAAAAATTGCGAAATCGTCCCATTCAAATCAAATCAAAACTCACAAGGCACTTTTGATCAATATCGGTTTTGATTAGCACTTTTTCCTCTCTGGAAGCCGTCTGTTTTACACCGGTTGTACTGCAGCCAATTGGCTTATTGTACATCTTTCAATAACTATTATAGAAGAACTTGGAGCTTCGGCAGATCTGCTTATATAAGCTCTACACCAGCACCCTATAATAGACCGTTCATTTGGCCCTGCTACACAGGCTCTTGTATCAAAGCGACATAGAAGTTTTTGAATATTGTTAATAACTTTTAACCCTAACCCGAGGGTATTATCGTATTTGAATTGTGTGCATAAGATGGAGCAGATCGGTTAAGTAGTTTATGCGAAATTTAATTTGTTTATAGGTTTTTTTAAATGAGCTAATGTCTATGGCCGGTCCAGATAATTTGACTGAATGTATCTCAATAATTGTTAAGACCTATAATAATAACCTGTTGAAAAAAGTTAAAAACATTATATTTGTGTACACAAAATGGTTTAATAATAAATAGCACTTTTTAAGCTTATAAATATTTACAATAACTCCGTAGAATTTAGTTCAAATTAAATATCAAAAAATATTCGGAAAGTTGGTTAAAAAACAAAACTTTTGAAAAAAAAGAGCCCCAAAGACCTTTAGGAGCCAAGATAGCCCTATTTTTAACCACTCTTACGTTAATTAACAACATTACCGGCTAAAATTAACCAATCTTTTATGAGAAAAGTCAAAGTTTTTAACGAAACTTTTAGCAAACAAAATGACCAAAAATTGTTTAAACAGGAGTGTTGGAAACAAAGAGTACTTTTCGTTTCGACTAAAGTAAAAAAAGTGGGTCTGGTTGAATGGGCCAGCTTCGCTCTTCAAAAAATCCAATAAGCCGGAGATACACATGCCTGTTACTAGCACAATGGCATACCAGTACCTAGCAAGCACCAGCTACTGTCCCCAAACTCACAAGTATGTACGTTAACTGGCATGCTAGTTCCTGGCATGCTAGCTAATCGCAAAGAATTTGATTTTTCTTGCTAGTTGCATGCTGTGAGATGCAAGGCGCATGCGTGGGTAGTGTCACTGGCATGTGTGAACGCGCGTTAACCGTTACGGGCATGCCAGTAGTTAGCAGAAAATTGTCAGATTTGTTTTGTTGGTGATAAAAATTAATCGTTTTATTTTTAAACTTGTTAATTTAAAAATGTTTCGTTGGGATGATGAAAAAAACATCAAGTTTATTGCCATATATAGAGAATTGGAGTGTCTTTTGAATTCCAAGTTATATCTATATAAAAATAAAATAGCCCGTGATAATGCGTACACAAAAATTTAAGAGGAAATGGGTGAAGTATGGGTATTACTATAAAGAACATAAAGGCCAAAATAAAAGATTTTCTTTCCTACCAATCCAATTTTTCACCCAAATTTATCTCTTTTTTGAGTCCCTCTTCTGATTGATTATTAAATTTTTAACAATATCTGTGGTCATCAGCAATATTTGCTTATTAAACATTCCGAATACCTTCCATGGATCCCCTTTTTTGTTGGAAACTTAAAAACTTTTATTTACAAAACAATTACTTTATTTTCAAATGAAATCCTCTCGATTCTTTACTAGCACTGGCATGTGTAAAAATCTACCCTGCTTTTTCGCCTTGCCAGTACAGGCATGCGAGCTACTGGCATGCCAATTACTAGCAAATGTTTTTTGTGCTTGCCAGTTACTGGCCTATACCAGCAACTGGCAGGCCATCTAATTTCCCAATTTACTGGCATGTGTGTACCCGGCTATACTGTTTCCAAGATAGAGCGCTGGGAAAAAGGACATATTTCTGGTTCTGCTCGACTAAATTTGTTCTTTCTATTTTTAAAACTGGGGTAAAACGTTAAAATAATACTAGTTATTATTTTCATTGCAAAATTATCCAAAACAAAGTAGGTACTAATTACGGGATATACAAACCTTTCCTTTTTAAAATGGTCGCTCTTGTTATTTATTTATTTACTTATTTATTTATTTATTCATGTCCAATATAATTCTATTAAATACATATTATTGATAACATTTATAAATTGATATTTATAAACAATTTTTCCTAATAATCTTTCCTAATACTTATAAAATAAGTTTTTTAGAATTAAAAAATATTTTTAGAAAAAAAAAATCGTGTAAGTATTTATATAATATTATATTATGTTATATTATATTACTTGAAATAGTCCTCTTATAACAAAGGTGGATGTTGCCAAGAGAAAATGATGGTCAAAATGGTTTAAGTAATTTTTTTAAGCATATTGTAAAATTAAATGTGTTTAATAACAAGTAACAAGTTTTTAAGGTTAATTGGCTCATTGGGCACAAAGTTTTCCCTAGGTTATATACTATTTACTAGGTTATATTGTCTACAAAGACAATAAGCCCCGGATTAATGGGATACATTCAGTCAAATTATCTGATCCGGTCTTAGATATTAGCTCATTTTCAAAAAAAAAAATTATAAACATTAAATTTCGCAAAACCTATTCAACCGATCTGCCCATCTTTGGCACACAATTCAAACACGATAAGACCCTACCTTAAGGTACATTTTAAACAAATTTTAATAAACAATAAGAAAGCTAATAACAATATTCAAAAACAGTGATTTTGTTGTTCATTTTGCAATAACTATTTTATTTATCATGTGATTTTAATTTAGCATTTAGCATTTTTTGTATCTTTTTTTTTTCAGAAAACTTCAAAAGTTAACGTCAAATATCTAAATAGACAAGCTTTTAAATTACAAGCAAAATAACGATTTACACGTTTTGATTGTTTAGTTAAAAATAAAAAATTGATGAATCCCTAGATGAGAGTCTTTTTGTCTCAAACTACACATTTCAACTGTCAAACTGATCTTACAGTTGTGTCGAGTAAAAATCATAACCTATATCTCTCTCAAATTAAAACTTTATTAATTCTTATAGATGGAACATTATTAAACTTGAAGAAGTACAAACCACAATATTTTGCATGAAAATCCAGGTGTAATTACGTAGAAAAATGTAGACAATACATGGCATATAACCTTGACTGAAAATTACTTATAAGTAAAGTCTGGATCATAAGCATTTTACTTTATTGTTTATGATTTAAGATTTTTAGTAACCATTTTTATTTTACAAAAAATGTTGAGCTTATCTTAATTATTTTAATGAACTAGTCAAATCCATTTCGGCTGAAGTACAATTTAGATAGCCGTTAAAGGGCCATTAGGAATTTTAATCCATCAATAGGCAAAACGGGAAAACCCATTGTTAGTACCTACATACAAGGGTTCCCCAAGAAAAAATTAATTTGTGTAATATTTTCCACAACCTATTTTCTGTCAAGTGTTGGGATCTTTGTTAAATAAAAGCTACGCAATTTCCATTTGTCTTCCCAAGAAGTCTGTAAATAATAGATTCACTCACTCCTGTCATATTGGCACATGTCGAGACCATAGTTTTAACATTAGCAAGCGGCATTTGATGTACAACAGATTCATGCACACTGAACACTACATTTTGATAACACAAAGTACCAGTGTCCTATTTATATATCAGTATAATAAAACTTATATAATGATGATTCAACAATTTATTTTTCCGATATTTATTAATGAATACAGTTTATAATAAACATTAATCAACCTGAATATCCAGAAAACGATAAAGAAGGGCCGATATGAAACTTTGTTTATTAAATATAAACGAAGTCTGCGCAAATTTATCCCATATTTATAATTTCTTATTGAAACGATACTAGAACGACAGCCTTAACTATCTACGGAAAAATTTTCTTTAAATTTAATAAATTATAAGGGTTGAAAAAACACAACTATCTTGCATAAAATGTGATAAACAATAAAATAGAATAAAACAAAAATAATGTTAGTAGAAAATTATCCTGTAAAAAGCAAAGGAAACGCAAGTTGATTGTGTACCCAATAAAAAAAGAAGGGAAATAAATTAAAAATTATGTATTAAGAAAAATGTAAATTACTTTTCAATCGGAAATTGTTGTTCGATGTTTCAATTTTTATTTGAATTTTTTATTGTATTTAATTAAAAAATAAAGAAATATGTGGTTTATTTTCAACGAGATATATAATAAAAGCTGAAAAGCTAGAAGAAAAGAAATTTAGAACAGTTTAAAAAAATGGTAAAAGCATAATCACTAAGGAAGATGAAAAGATAAATGCAAGTAAGACATGATTGAATAAACTAAAGAAATAAAAAAATGAAAGAGAAGCATATCTGATATCGCGTTACATACCACCAACTTGAAGATCAAGAAACAGGCAGATACACATGGAATACTACAAAAGAGAGGAGGAGAGGACATACAAATGTGAGGGGATGAAAGATATTAAAAATGTAGAAAGTAGTGGAACTAATCAAAAATTATAAAATAAATCTCGGAGTGGGCTAATCCCAAATATGTTTTTTTTTTCAATTAAATAATTAGCGGTTATCTTTCTGAAAGCGAGTTCCAGAATATTTTGGTGGAATAAATAGGGAGCACATATTGAGGAAAGTCTATATCCAAAACAAATAACTATTTTTTTTATTTCAGGCTCTCAGGTCGGCGACGCAACGAAGCCCAGCCGAATTCGTGCATCACCAGCATGGTGAACAGCGGTACTTTCGATACTAACGCACTTGGATCAGGGGATCGAAATGCAAAAGTTACTTGCACTCATCCGGATGCCGTTTCATCGGACTCCGTCTCGACGCATTGTAAAACCGGCGCTTCTGCTTGGTCTTCAACAGCTGACGGAGATGCCGCTGCGGCATCTGCGCAATCGAGCGATGAATCGAAGTCGGTGGAGCACGAGACGCCGCGAAAAAATCTCGACGCCGAAGACGTCTCAACAGGCAACGCCGAATGTTCGGCCGACGGCGAGGATAAGAGCACCTTGTGCTGCAGCGTCCCGCTTGAGAAGGTACAAGGTGTTTTGACGTTTCATCCCCCAAAATGCGAGGAGTCGAAGCCCACCAGGAAATTACTGGGTGAATATTTTTATGTTTATTTTCCTTTTAAAACAATACCCTTCCTTTCTAAGACAATACATTTATATGATTATTAAATATTTCTTTTTCGATTGTCATAATATGCCTTTTTAGTTCGTAGGCTATAAATGATACGATCATTATACATTTTTTAAGACATTGTTGATATGAAGGTTAAGTTTGAAATTTTTAAGTAATAGTCCATGCTTAGACTTTAGAATATTAACAAAAATACAATGCTAATTATCATTCTTATGACAGTATTATAATTTATTTGTAAACTTTGTGACAATCACTATATAAGTTACATTTTTTTTATATTTTGTAATTTGCGCATAAAATGTCGACATTTTGGAATTGCCATTTGCTGTTAACCATGATTTTCTGTGAAAATCAAACGTGGTGTTACGACTAGTTTAACTAGAATAATTAGACAGCAAAAATAAAAATGCGAATCGTTTTGGCTTTAGCAGCAATATTTCTTTTTTGTTTTGTTTCAGTTAACCGCATCAATACTAAGGTTACTAGCGAGATAATCATTTTTGTGTATACTCGATTTGGAAATGCATGATTGCACAGACTGTTTCACAGCAGAAAAATTATAAATATCGATACCTTCTTTTCCCAACTTTCTTGTGCAATAATTTCTAAAAATAATATGACCTATGGCCTCGCTGACAAACTTCGAATACAATACAATATAAAATGCATGCGAGCAAGTCTGCGGTTTTACTTCAGAATTGCACGCCTCAGTGGCGGAATATTCGTCATTTTACAAAGAAATTATAACTGGCCATTGCTTCTTTTATTATCATATTCAGTTTCCACAATTTTTCGTCCCATGTTATGATATGTATTACACCTTTTTGCCAATTGTCAGATGAAATTCTAGTATCATATGATCATATGAAAATCACGAGGAAGATCCCAAATACAACGGATTGACCAAATTACACGAATATGCAAAAAAAAATTTTTTAGAAACAAATCCGAGTTAGAACACTATTTATGTAGAGAAATACTTGTTGTTCCAATCAAACTAGTTATTTCCTTGTGAGCTTTGAATAGAGTTTGCTCATTACTAGCGCCGTAGGGAATGTCATCAATATATACAGGTATACATATATACAGTTGAACATCCCCTGATGATAAGTATTTGCCAGTTTCATTAAACAGCGAAAACTGACGTTTTAGTTGCGTATGTAACTGTTTGCAGTTCCAGGCATTCGATATCCTTTTCTTCGAGTTCGGACTGAACAAAGAGAGAACTATTTGACTGAGTAATAGCCAAGTTTGAACTCCGATGAAAGACATGATGGGGAAGTGTACAAAAAATAACATAATCTAAGTGGGTTTTCTGAAGAATAGGAAGATTTTTTCCTAAACTTCTGAATCGATCAGTCAATAATTCCTTATAGATATCACCAGCTAGAAGCAAATCAATTTTACCGGGGACAGAGTACGAAGGATCTGCGAGAGTGAGATTAGGTGGAACATTTATTTTGCTTCTATCTAAGGTAGCTTTAGGAATCCTGCAGGTTATACTATCAAGTACAGCAAAAGAAGTTTTGAACCTTCTATCCTTCACATTATAGGAAAAAAATTATATGTTTATCATTTGATTTTACAGTGAGGTGTTTTCGGATATGGTTGATATCTGTAACTGTTTAAAATAAGGAATGAGGTTAAATTTCTCAACCAAATCTCGAGAAATGAATGTTGACACTCATTATCTTGGAGCGCTCTGGCATGCATGGGCCTGCTATCTTTAGAATAAAGTCACTAAATCGGTAGCCAACAATACATCATTTTTAACTGATAAAGTAGTGAGAGAAGTGTCTGTGTAAGAAACTGGAGAGTTTTGTGCTTCTAAAGTAGGTTTGAACGAACTGGTAGAATCTTCATTTTTAGTGTGAGCATTAGAAGAAAGCTGAGTAGATATGTGTGACACGACTGGAAGAACTTTGAGAATGTTTGGGAGCTTGAGAGTTGCGGTCAATCGAAAAAGATTGCCTATTCGTGTTCCTAGAGGAAGAGACATTTTCAGAGGCACGATGCAAGAGCGAGTTATGTCTTTTCTTACCTATACTTCATGAGCGTGAAGAGTTGTAGTCATGAGAAAACATTTTATTACCCAAACAATTCCAACAAAGTTTCTTACCTGTTACAAAATTAAATTTTTCTTGTAAAGAGAGACATTTGAAATCATTACACTGATAAATTTTGTGCGAATTACTTTTACAACATGTACAACTAGTATTCGAAAGGGAGTTTGTGTGGACGTCAACTGATGAAAACAAACATGTTTTTAATTAAGGTTTATTAAATTTTCTGCCATTATCAGCGACGGATACTTTTTCTTGTATATCACAATTTTTCTCAAGAAAACTAAAAAACGGTGAGAGAGTGGGCGGGTAATTTTCAATCTTCCATCTTATGCTGAAAGCCAGCTAGAGTAGAAAAGTATTTTTTCTCCACGAACACTCTGTCTTCTGTTTCGGAATCGGTTTCATCGATTTCTTCAATCTGATCCATCACCTCTTCATATTTCAGATAACATGTTTTCAATTCGGTGTATCCTGAGTTGAAACTGGAGACCATCAGTTTCTGCATCTGCGTTTTCTAGCAGCCACTTTGCTATTCTGGTAATCTTGGCCTTCAATGGCTTCCTCTTTTTCCACCCTCCCTTGTCTCCAAAAATATCGACTGTATGAGAGAATTTGCTAAAAAAAAATCCACAAGCTCTTACGCTCGTACCTTTCTCAAATATGTACGACCTTAAATATTAATTTTAGCATAAAAATGAAACATATAAAAATTGTACAAAATAAAATTCTCTCCATTTTTGTATAGATACATTTACGTCGTAAAGTTAATAATAAACGAGATGATTCAATAATTATGATTTAACTGTCACTATTTTCCCCGTTGACTCGGAAAGTATCGATCGCACAAAAAAATTGTTAAAAGAGAAGTTACAGGAAATCGGATTTGCAACAATTTTAGTTCGTACTCTTTTTCTGTAAAAGTTGAAAATGGTGGAGATATTGAGCAAAAACGGTTCTCCTTTAAAATCAAGATGGCGGCTAAGGTAATGGCGGAATTCAATTGCGATTTTAAAATTTATACTACTATTGATCCCTAAAGGTTAGAATAATAATATTTGAGACAGCTCGGCATGCAAGGTCAAATGCTGTTCCAACTGGAGTATAAGTCTATCCATATTTACAATGGATAAATTTGATCCATTGTTTATACCTACTTATAATAGCACACACCTAACATTATCTTTGTCTTAGTTTTCGACATGGTTAATATCACAAAAAAATGTTCTAATTAAAAATGTTCAATTTTGTGTTTTATATTTATGTCTGTGTCTGTTTGATCTGTTTATTCCTTTTACATTTTTTAGTTTTATATATAGATATTGGTTACGGCTACAAATTGCTATGAAGTATTCGCAGAAAAATTTTTAGAGTGTAAATTGTAGATCATTACGATAATTAAACGATATTCTTGGTATTATTTTGATTTTCTCATGTTCTTTTAAGTTTAACTACTACTTTTCATCTTTAACTAGCTATTTTTGCCTGTAAATTTTAACAACTTGGTCATTACAGTTGTTATATCTTAAAGATTCTGTAGTTTTTATATTTTTTTTAAGCATACTATATTCCCAACTTATGATTTCTGGACCGTCAGTACATTATGGATAGAGCCAGTATTATGCAGAACACTACGGCTTTAAAGTTATCAAATTTTGATCGAAATTTACTCGATTTTTTTACACATTGTATTGGCGTAGTTTACATTTTGGATACAATTTTTTAAATTTTCTGACATAATGCGTCGTATCCTGTAAATCTATTTTATACACATATTACCATTTTTTCAACGACTTTTTTGTTGCAAATGGTTTAATTATGTTTTTCTTTTCAGATTCAAAAGGAAGAATGACCTTGTTGTGTCTTTATTGCGAGAGATCGTTTGCCAGCGCAAATCTCCGCCAAAAACACGTCGAGCGCATTCATTCGGTAAAGAAAAACCGTCGGCTCAGTTCGCGGAAGCAAAACCAACTCACTGTCACTCCGTGTATCTACTGCGAGAAATTAGGTTCCTCAGAAAACACTTTAAAAGATCTCTTCCAACATCTAATCAACGAACATTCTGACAAATACTTCGGATGTCTTCCGTGCGAGGAACGCTTCGTAACCAACTCTTTGTTGTCTGACCATAACGTTTCCCACCATCCACCTGTGCCGGAAATAAACGAGAAAGCTCCTGCGAAGTTGGCTTTGACTGAAGATAGGTCTGTAAAAGAAGTATCTGTCAAACTGACGAGGAGCAAAACCAAACCAAAGGCTGAAGCGACAGATAACCCCGAAAGAGCTAAAAAATCAATTCGGGCTAAAAATGCAAAGTTAAAAGAGCTGAGAAGCAAGAAATTGACCGTAAAATCCTCGCGTATAGCTCTTAACAGGAGGGAAAGTAAAAGACTTCAGGCCATAAGTGATGCTCAAAAGAAGAAGAGGCAGAAACCCGCGGAAAGAGGCAAACAAACGAATGTAAACAAAAGTGAACCAGTAGCGGAAAAGTCGAGTTGTATCAACCCGTACCCCGAATTCGATCACTTCTACCGTGTCAAAAAAATCACAGATCATTCCATAGACAATTTAAAAATTAGTTCTTTAACCTTTGATGACGTATTCGACAAGACTTTCTTTAATAGAATTAAGTGCAATATTGAGGAAAATTTGTTACATCATATTGATGGAAAATTATTCAAAAATGAAGAGTCTGAGAGTAGGATCTCAAATTTTGAGAAAATATCAACAGTGCAGCAAGAAATTCAAAATTCGGCGCCGGAAAACTACGGATGTGAATTGTCCCTTAACGCTGTTACTCCTGTGGCGTCGTTATCCCTTAACTCACAATTCGGGGAAGACTTTGAATCTCAGATTGAATATGGGTCGAAGCCATCGAAAAAAAAGACCCAGACCAAAAAAGATGAAGTACATTATAAGTATTTTACCAGACGTAAATTTCAGGTAAGCTTTACGATTCCTTTTATTGTAATATGTTTATATGGGATTGAGCTTCAATTTTTTTTTATTTCAAATTAACATGCCCCGACATCTTTTGTCATTGACACGGGGGCAAAGGTTTACAATAGAACAGAGTTATGAGTATTTACATTACAGATACTTAAGCAATTAATGAATAACAATTTTGCTAAACAATTGTGTAATCTTCAAGAAGTCTATTAGGCTCTTGAGTCGACTTAAACAGTTCAGAAAATCTTCTAAACTGTGGTTTATATTGTTAGCAATGCGAATAGCCTGGTAGTGTTGTCATTCTGTGAGGATGTGCTTAACGGTGATAGGAATGTCGTTGCAGTGGGAGCATAACAAATAGCTATTAACAATATTAACATTAGGTTATATTTCTCTGAGCTTGGTGTCTTTGGTGAACCACTTTTCTTGCTACTTGCTTTGGATACTCGTTTTGAATTTTAATTTTATATCTTCTTAGACTGTATGTTGTAGATAGGTAAGTTGAATGTAGATGATTCACTGCTTTTTTGCATTTTATTGTTATTGAACTCCTGGAAGAGTGGAGATCGATCGTATTTTTCGCATTAACTGATGTTATTTAGAGCTGCTGTAAATAAAGTCACGATAGCGAATATGGTAGCCAACATGATATCCAACGATCGATAGCGGTCATGGAACTAGAAGAAGAAGAACTGATGTTGAGTGAACGAGTGAATTGCGGATAAGGAATCGGTACACAGAACTAGACTTTGATGATTGTCAAAAGGAAATTCGAGAGCTTTTGAAATACTGAAGAGTTTTTCGGAAAATACGCTACATTCGTTGGATATTCTGTATTGTTCTAATACTGTATCAACTGTAGTGACAGTACAGCCAACTCCATCTGTATTTCGGGATGCATCGATATAAAGCACGTTATCATAGTGGGATGTATTTACAATATCCTTAAAAGCTTGTTGAAAAATGATATTTATTTGTTGCTTACTAAATTTATAAAGGGAAGTGTTTATAAAAAGAGGTGTTCTCGATCATGGCGGGGATTCTGATTTTAAAGACGCAAGTGTTTGTGATAATTTTGTGTCTTGGCTTAAGGGTTGTAGGATCTGTGGGATTGAAAGTGTACATGTGGGTGAGTTTGCTGATCCAGATATTGGTGACGTCAGGACCACAGAATAATAAACAATCAGAATGCCCACTCTGCTTAAAAAATAAGTACGCGCATCTCGTTCGCGCAGGCGGAATCAGCCATGTTTTAAACGGAACCAGTGCTGTTCAGTGACATTTTATCTGATGTGCATAGACAAATTAACCCGGTTTAATTTATTTACGGCATCTACAGACATAATATGCACTATTTTATTCATACTTTTAGTTGAAGAATAGATTCTTCTTCTTCAGGTTCCTTCTCCTATCGGAGGTTGGAAATCATCATCGCTATTTTAATTTCATTGGCCGCGTTTCTGAATAATTCTAATGAGCTGCAACTGAACCACTCTCTCAAATTTCTTAGCCAGGATATTTTGCGTCGTCCTGGGTTTCTCTTGCCTTGTATCTTCCCTTGCATAATTAATCTAAGTAATTTCGTACTTCTCGCCCCTCATTATATGACCCAGATATTGAATATTTCTAATTTTAACAGTTTTTATGACTTCAAATTCTTTCTTGATTCTTTGTAACACCTCTATATTAGTTACTTTTTCAGTCCACGATATTCTGTGGATTCTCCTGTAGCACCACATCCATCATTTTTTGATTTCAGACTATTTTATTGTCCACGCTTCCATGCAGTATAGTAAAGTAGAAAAATCGTAACATCGTAGCATTCTTGTGCGGATCTCTAGATTAAGGTTACGGTTGCAAAATAAGTTCTTCAATTTTATGAACGTGTTTCTTGACATTTCTATTCTAGGTCTGATTTCTTTTGTTTGATCTTCATCTTCGGTTAGCCTAATTATTTATATATTGTTACTCTTTCGATCATTGTATTATTGATGATCAGGTTATCTACATTTTGTGATTTTTTTGAGAATGTCATTGATTTCGTTTTCTTGAGATTCATTTGCAGTCCTCACCTTTCACATGCATGGTATACATGCTTTAGTATGTACTGTAGATCTTCCACGTCACTTGCAAATACGACCGCATCATCCGCATATCTAATATTATTAATGCTATTTTCGTTGACCAAAATACCTTCCACAATATCCAATAAAGCTTCTTGAAATATCACTTCACTGTAGACGTTGAATAAGAGTGGTGAAAGTATGCACCCTTGTCGAACTCCTCTAAGTATACTTACTTCGTCTGTCAGTTCTCCTTCGACTCTTATTCTTGCTTTCTGATTTTGATACAGATTCGATATAATTTGTAGATCTCTACTATCTATGTTTTTGGTCTTAAGAATACTTAAAAGCTTTTTAGTATGGATTTATCTATTTCCTTGCTTACCATTATGGCCACACCATATCGGTTTGTTCTATCAGAATATCCAGTATAATATATAGCTCCGTTTCTAGTCCGTTGTTTTCCAGATTCTGGCCATTCTACATCGTTTATTCCTAGAATTTCGATATTTAATCTTTCCATTTCTATCGCAGTATTATCTACTTTACCTGATTGTGTACGTTCCATGTTGCAATTCTCATATTTCCTCTTGTGATATTGTGTATAAGTGTTCCATTATTTTCATCACAGGGATTTCGCTGGCTTACGACCTGGGAAGCCCTGTGGTCAACTTGTGATTTACTTCCCCTGCCGGATCTTGGTTTCCGTGGCCCATGATCAGTAAGGTTACTCATTTGGTTATTGCTAGCCATGATGATTGTACTAGGGATGCTCTTGTGAGCCTTTACTACAGTGGTTTACCCTGGCCTTCGGTAGCCCTATGTCGTTGACCATCTTCCTGGTTCATCCGCCTTTGAGACCGATTTCTCGATCTCAGGACAAAGAAGTGCCCTTCCACTAACCAGCTCGTCAGCCCTAAGCCGTTGGCCTGTAGGAGGGGGATTGCTTATACCGGCAATCGCTCGGTGGTTTTTCGCCATATCTGGCTATCCTCACTTAGTTTAGCCTGCAGACCAATGCAGTAGCCCAGGGTGTGCCACGTAGAGCCATAAGTGAGAGTTAGGTGTCTTATGAGGACCAGTTATCAAGAACCATCTCCCGTCTATGAAGCTCGATGTGGTCGTTCCAATAAAAGGTACTATCTCTATAACAGAATATATTAAATTAGATTAGAAGAATATTTAGAATAGAATTAGAAGAATAGATCGAATTAGATCTATCAAATCAAAGAAAGCATCTCCTCTTTAACTCCATCTTTAAAAGTATAGTGTTCTATGGATGCGAAACATGGCAACTTACTAAATCCCTTGAGCGACGCCTACTTGCATTGGAAATGGACTTCTGGAGAAGATCAGCTAGATAATCAAGGCTTGATAGAATACAACCATGACCATATCAGAAATATAATGGGAGTCAAGTCGACCATCATTGACGAAATTCAAAGGAGACATGATCTGGTATGGTCATGTGAAAAGAATGGACGACGACAGGCTGCCAAACCAAATTTTAAAATGGACGCCAAGGGAAAGAAGGAAGAGAGGAAGGCCAAAACAATCCTGGCTGGGCGGCATTCAGAAGGCAATGTCGGAAAGAAACCTTCACCCTGGCGAATGGAATGACCGACGTAGCTGGAAACTGGGAACCGGAAGGCGGAGAACGCTATAAAAAACCGGGATAATAATAAAAAGAAGAATAGATTAAATTATTTCAAATGTACTAAATTATTAATCTCTAAAAATTTAAATGACAGTTCTGTCGTAGCTTGTCACAAATTTCTCAATTCGAGTCTATGTTTCCGTCTAAAACATGGCGTTCGCGTGCTGACAACCTTCAAAGGCGGCATCTGAGAGTGGGCATTCTGATTGTTTATTATACTGTGTCAAGACATTAAATAATACTGGGTTTGTCGGATTCGATGAAATTAAGCTAGCATAAGATAGGAGTGGCTACTGCCTCCGAAGGTAAAGGTTCATGATATTCACAATACAAACTTTCAGCGGGACTGGATCGAAATGCTCCTAAGCATATTCGAAGAGCAGTGTTGTGAACAGAGTTTAACGATTATAATACAACCATTGACAAATAAACTATACTTCTTCTTCTTTTTGTGCCGCTCCTATCGGAGATTGGAAATCATCAAGGCTATTCTGACCTTGTTTACGGCTGACCTAAAGAGTTCATTAGTGGTGCAGCCATACCACTCTCTCAAATTCCGCAACCATGACATTCTTCTACGGCCTGGATTCCGTTTTCCTTCTATTTTTTCCCTGCATTATATTTTGAAGTAATGCGTATTTATGTCCTCTCATCAGGTGACCAAAATATTCGAGTTTTCTTCGCTTTAGCGTTAACAAAATCTCTGGGTCTTTTCCTATTCTTCGTATTACTTCACAGTTTGTTATTCTTTCAACCCAACTAATCTTCAGCATTCGACGGTAGCACCACATCTCGAAACTTTCAATATTTTTCATGTTGTTCTGTTTGAGAGTCCAGGCCTCTACACCGTATAATAGAGTGTTAAATACATAGCCTCTCAGCATTCTTAATCGTAGAGGGATGCTTATATTTCTGTTACAGAAGAATTTTCTCATCTTTATGAAGGTGGCCCTAGCAATTTCGATACGTCTTTTTATTTCACTGTTTTGGTCTCCAGTTTCGTTTATTAAAGTTCCCAAGTATTTGTAACTTGATACTTTTTCAACTTGAGTGCCGTTTATACTAATATACGCTGGTTGTGTCATGTTTTTACTGAAGACCATATACTTGGTTTTTTTAATATTGATATTTATACCATAATTGTTGCAAGCAATATTTATGTCTGTAAGTAATCTTTGTAATTCTTCTACTGTTCTTGCAACTAGTACAGTGTCGTCTGCGTATCGAATATTATTTACAATCTCTCCATTAATTACGATTCCTCCGTTTGCTTG